CATGCGATTCGATATTCTCTCGTATTTATTCAAATGGGCAACCAAAACCGGCGCACGAAAGTGCATGGTTAATGGTTGTAAGAACTGAACTGAACTGAACGGAAGTTCGAAGTTTGATTACCAATTGCCATTGATAGAGCCCAGAACTGCTTTTGTTCACTCGATATGCTGGGTCCGGACAAGTTTGAATAGAATAGCAATGACTCATTTTGTCCCGCACGTCTACTCTCCTTGATTACCCTGTTCTCGATTTATCTCGGTGCCCCTGGTTTCGCAACTCTGCTAATATTGCAACTGAATAACTAGCCGAGGAATGGGCAACAACGACTTTCGTTTTCACCAGAGGCTTGATTTCACCTTATTATTCGCTTTATGCTGTGATGTGACTGACTTGTACGCCTGGTGTTGCAGAGTTTCTTAGTTCCAGCATATCACCTCTAGGGAAAGTCATAATTTGATAATTGTACTATTTGCATTTTTCTTTCTAGTGGCAAAAGACTTCCGATGTATGATGGAACTTTTGGACCGAAAAAGTGGATGAAATCGATGACCACAAAGCAATATGCTATCATTTACACGAAACAAGCACTCACAAATCAATTTTTAGGCGTTGGTAACAATAATAAATAAACAAAAGTCGACGGAGCGCTTATTCAATGAAGGTGACGTGTTTTAAGTGATAGATCATCCAACATCAGAACGAGATACTTACATAACCCTGGTCTAACGATTCGGATTGTTATCGCTTCAGCTATGAAGAAGGATCTCTTGCGTAATCGTTTAATTCGATTNGATTTACAGACTTGGCTAAGACAATCTTGAATGAGGTCTTCAGACTATCCCTACATACGCTGTCGACAACACCATCTTCGTCGTTCTTTTCCCCATTGAGCTGTCTTAATACCTTCTCTTGATTTGCCCAGGATTGTTGATCAGTGCTAGTTCGAAAACTGCTGACTGCTTTCTTTTTAAGTAGTCGATTGTTTTAATACATTTGATTCTGATCAGAGAAAAGACTAAATAAATTTTAATTATCTTAAAAAGTTTGCCTTGTGGATAACCAGTTCTTTGAAAAAAGAAATAATAAAAAGATGCCACTATACTTACAATGAAGCACTGCTTAAAAAGGTGTGATTTAGTTGCCACAGACTAGACGAACGGTTGAATACATCTATAAACTGCACTCAATGTCATTCACAAGAATATGTTCATGAGGAATGTGACATCTTATCTGTATGACACAGAGAAATAGAACTCACCGTTGAAACGGCGCAGAGTCCACGGACGAGACCACGATCACGTGAATTTTACGGGCAACCAGTATTGGACGACGAAAATTCAGGTGCATTGGGTTTTCGGATTGTATTAGTAACGGTTCTTGTGCCTCCTGAAGTGCTCGGTTCATTCTCAAACGTGCGCTGATCCCCATGGAGTGATGGCGCAACAGTAGCACGCGGAGAGCATGGTAATTCAGAGGAGCTAGAAGGGCTTAGATCAGTTGGTGTCGGCCTCGTGGTGTGCCGAAGTGAAGCAAGCTGTCCACGGAGCTGAGCCGAGTGAAGTCTTTCTTTTGCCGAGCGAAGCTGCAAAAATTGTTTTGTGATTTGCTTTTTAGTGATTGTGGACAGCTGAATATAAACAATCAGAACGTAAATAGTGAAACGTCAATCACTTAGGCGTTTTTGAGCGACGTGAATATAGGGGTACGTTGGAGTAGTTTTCGGTGGTCAACCTGGAAGAACTGCAAATAGACGTGCATTGTGTATAACCTAATTAGTTCTGTTGGTGTCGTTCAACCGCAAAGGAAAATCACACCATTCGGATGATTTGTTTTGTAGTGCGAAATTCGAAGACCTCGATAACGCGGAAAGTGAGCAATCCCGATGCGAAGATATTAACGTTGTTACCAGTAACAATGGTGGGGATAGAACGTACCAAACGTTTTAATCAATTTGATGCAATTCACCTAGGTCTCAAACACGTCTCCCGACACTACATTGTCAAACCAGTTCAGACAATCCGAAAGCATATTTTCCATTGATCCAAACGGAACATAACGCACATACTGCACGCATATAATACACTGACACTAAGGCAATGCGGAAAGGCCATCCGGTTGAGTTCTTTAGGTTGTCATCGAAACTGCAATTAAAAATGTTACATACCTCGATGTGTGTGTGTGTTGATAATTTGAGCAAATACACTAGCTTATTGAATGCGAGGGTTAAAAGACCGAAATTCTCGTTTTCGGTGCTATCAACAGACAAAACAAAATACAATTATACAGGAAACAGACAGAAACAGAGAGGGAAACGAAGAATGCCGTATTAGAGGATGAGAATAGGTCTAGGGTAAAATGTGAGTTCATGGACTGGAGTAATATCCTCAGCAACGAGTAAACAGTTGTGACAGAAAATTATGGCAATACTACGGGAATACCACCACCTTTTCTACTACGAAATGAAAAGCATTCAATCGTAGCTTTACGCACCCGGACGGGCGAATTTTCGGTATGACCTTGAGAGTCTTTTCAGTTTTGGCATGGCGTCTGCTTCCAAAACACTTCATAAGGTTTCCCCAATGACGGGGTCAAAAGGTGTGCAATAATCAATGACGTAGGCTGTGGTTGGTTGTTGTCACTGGTTGCAGTGAACCGAAATAACGCACACAAAAAAAATATGTTTCGCACAGATTCTTCTC